CTGTCCTTAAAAAATAATCAGAATTATTTATAATTACAACTCCATAGCAGAAATGAGTTACATACATTTTGGAAAAAACACGCAAAGGAGTACTATGGCATCATTTCAAAATACTGGATTTGGCAACTAAGACATCGTGCAATAATACTCCTGCCACTGTGGGGGAGAGAGACCACAAAATCTTATACTTCTCTGATTATAACCACTGGTAAAGAAGAGTCACTTAGAGGGGAAACACAGGGATGAATTCACATCAAAATACTCGTTGTTCCAGAGTGCCGAAGTGTGTGGTTTGTCCTCTATTCTCCTAATTCTACTATTTGGTGATGCTGTTTTTACTCTAGGAGGATAAATCATTACAGAAAATAAAAGTCACAGTGCAAAGATTATGCCACAATGGAAATGGTTATAGTTTTAGAAGTATAAAAAGACATATAAAAGTATATAGTTCTAAAAAATGAAAGGGAAAAAATAGTGGGTTAAAAATAAGCTAAAAGAAATAGAAGTGTTTTATGAGAGTGAGGGGTTTCAGGTGTTTTTTTGACTACTGCACTCTGTATCGTCTATGTTATACTCACACACAGCTTATGTCCCCTCGGAGTCCCCTAATCCCAAGCCCAATCACAAGACTCTTTCATGTGGGTTGTGGTAGACCTACACCCAAAATAAAAATGGTATAACTTCACACTAGAACTGTGTGTGTGAACTGTGTGAACTGCAGAGAAGCATGTATCTGTCCCCTCACTTCCATTTAAGAGTGGGTCATCAGCGCTGAACAAATATTATGTTTAGACAAGACTGAAGCAGCATCAGTGAAGAGAGTTACAGTCCCAGGTTGAGTACAAGAAATTAGTGAAATGATGAAATGAGGAAGTTCAGCCCACTACACCCAAGGAACCCACAGGCCAGACACTGTCCCCAGGCCAGACACTGTCCCCAGCAGGATGATGACTTGTGACTCACTTAAGCCTCATGATGTAGGTCAAAGCTAATATTATTTCTATTTTAGAAATGAGGAAACTGAGGTCCAGGAAAGCTGTGAATGACTTTAGAATTACAGGAAACAAAGTAAAGAGTATGTTCCAAAGGGCCAGATAACACCATTCTCCTTCTAGTAGGTTGATTCTACCCTGAGTTTACCTGGTTTTCAAAGGCTGACCTGCCTGACCATCTCCGCTTCCCCACACTAACCTCGAGCTTCAGTCTCAAATGTTTCCTCATCATTTCCCGTTGTCTCCCCTAACCCTCTCAGACCTGGTACTCTTCATATTCATTAGATCTAGACTAGCAAGTATAAGTTCTCGCAAAACAAAGATGACAGGACAATGTCCTCACATCTGAGTAGCCCGTAGTCCATGAGGTAAGTGAGAATCCCTCACACTATTCTATGGCAAGTGCGCTATAGGGTGCAAGTAGTGGCCCTTGGCCTGAAGCTCCACTACAGTGGGCATAAACACCTGGACAAAGTCATCACTCTGCTCCTTAGCATAGGGCCAGCACCTCTTACTCCTCTCCAAAGCTTAGCTCCTGCATGAAGGTATCCTGCTAGAACAATCTCTCCTTCCTTTTCATTCCTTCCACTCAGATGCTGAGTGGTTCTCCCTCTAAGCTGTACATTCAAGAAATCTAGAGATTGGAACCCGATCAGTTGGATCAGGATTCTCACACTCTTCCCTGAATGGGGATTTTTAGAACCACTATGGAAATGAGTCTAAATAGTGGCCAAGGTTGAGAAGCGCTGCTATGTCCATACCACCCCACCCATGATTATAATCTCTAGTCCTCCAGCTATTTTTATATCTACATGTCCACTAAACTATCAAGACCCTGAGACCAGCTTGCTAACAGTTATGTATCTCTCCTACTCCTCACCAAAAGACTGAGCATGAACTGCAGACAGGACTCTAGCATCCCCTGGAAAATATATTTAATGTGAAACAAGACGTTGAAATCAGAAGCTAAAAACGTATTAGAGTGAGTCTAAAACTCAAGAATCAGTAATGTTAAATCAAAGAGGTTTCAGAAAAGTGGGTAGGTTAGGAAAATTGACTTATCACATTAAAGAGGTCTTTAAAGAAAAAGATTTTTTATCAATGGAAAAATCATTCATGCATCCAGTTATTTACTGCACCAGACAGTCTTCTTCACAAAGGATAAAACAGTAACACAAGACAAACACATTTTTGGATCTTAACAGATGACCCTTGATAAGATTAATTGGACAACCACAATATATTGAGACAAATATTCTAGTGAAAGGAATACAGACATGGCGTGTTCACGCCAGAGAGGCAGGGGCCTGCTCAGTAGCTTGTTCCCCAGGGCAGCGATACTGCAGTACGCTGCATCACTTTAAGCAAAATTCAATATAGTTGACCAATTTTTTCACTTGGTCATTATTATGGATAAAAATGCCTCCACAGCTGACAAACATCCCACTGGTAACAGATGTTAACTCTTCATAAAGTAACAAGGTGATTTTCCTGTACAAATCTTTCTCGTATGAATTTTCTCTTGAGAGGCTATTAATCAAGGCTTATTATTTGAACTTAGTCATACCTACACAGGTTTTTTGAAGGTCTCAGAACTTAAGATCTGCAAGCTGAGGTTCAGAATCACAGACTACAAGGTTCAGCAACCACAGACTATTTAGCCCAAACACTATACCTGTGGCCCACGGTCGTCATAGCTAAGGCCAGATAACAGCCAATGGGCATGCCCGCCTTGACAGCCTTCAAGAGAGGATGAAACGTGGGTGACTCTGTCAGGTCAGGCACAGCGCTGGAGAAGGGGACAGCTGGACAATTCTGCTGTAGTCCATAGTCGTTTTTGTGCAATTTTAATCTCAAGATCAAGTTCCAGGCCCACTGATTAAAGGAGGTCTCGGGTGTCTCTCCATATCGAACAACAGTGGCCAAATATGAAACCTAAAACAATTTATTTTAAGCCATATTAGACACATACACAATAAATCAGTAAGCTCACCCATATGTCTCCTTCTGTGACCAACAATGGCCTCAGAAAACGGGGAACATGCTATTCACTAGTCCTCAGCATCTACAGTACTAAATTAATTTTCATTCACAACTACTTCTGCTTACTTGCCAGTCACCTCCTGAACCTGATCTGGGTTATCTCAAGGAAAAGAAAAGTAATAGAAAAGTAAAAAGTTGGTACTCAATGAATGTTGTGTTGGTAAATCAGGTTAACAACCAGGTGAAGCCTTAAGAGGTCATTTCTAGCCCTTGCTAGTTTGGTGATATAAAAACTCACTTAAGTCAATTTCAAGTTACCAACAGTTTAGTGACTTGCTTTGCAAAGTTCCTGATAATTTAAAAATCAGTTCCCCTGAGCCAGTACAAGCCAGTTTCAACACACCAGTGCAGCTCAACTCAAATTCTACAGTATTAAAATGGTCAAATGTAGGTTATTTCTTGATGACAAGTCTTTATCCAATCATAGAGCTCAATTGCAGTATCTTAAAGTGCCAGAAATGTTCTTGGGAAACTTAAGGGTCAATACTATAACTATCCTCACTTTGGTGACTGGTAAGATTTGTGTTCTCAATACATAAAAGAAGGAAATACCTGTTTCATACTCTCTGAAAGAAGCCCAGCATATGGCTTCTGTGCAAGGTACTTCTGGTATGCTTCAAGAATCACCAGAGCCACCTCAGTATGGACTGCCTGATCCAGGTGAAGGGTATCCTTTAAAGAGAGACACAATCACAAACGTCATCGTGATTTCTTTCAAAACCTTTGAATCAAAAGATAGGCAGAAAAGTAAAAAAGATCTTGGATAAAGAAGCTAATTTTCCAAATTCATATCTCCTAACAGTGAAAAATAGAAAATGACAACAGGAAAAAAACTGAAATCTTTAAAGAACCATTACACTGCACGTAACAGGTTTGAACTGGAGTATCCCTGACCTCAGCCACAGAGGTAACTTTGACTGTAATCTACTCCCCATCATAAAATTACTACAAAGACTTTTATAATTATGTTCAAAGCATTGTCACAAGGCAGGAAGATGCTTAATTATGATTAATTAAAGAAGAAAAAAATGAATTATCTATATTCCCCTTTCTTGTTCTACCACCAGTGAAAATAAATAAAATACTCAACAACATGGGTAAAACATTCTTTTGGGAGCTCCAAGTGGCCTATCGACTTTCCCACCCAGTCTTCCTTCACAGAGATGACTTCCCTGACAAGGAGCCTCTCCAGGGCTGTCTTCCTGCAATTCTCTGGGGCAAAGGGCATGTGGACAAGAGACGTGAAGGTGGAGAACAGCCCCCAATACTCTCACCCACCAGCACGTGAGAGAGAAGACCCAGATTAATCCATGGGTAAATGCAGGTGATGAGGACGCCTGGGGGAAGAGCTCCCTGGCTTCAGTTTTCTCTTCTGTACAACTCTGGTCTCGTCACACCAGCCTCACAGGTTGGATACAAGGACTAGTCAATACTCAGACCAAAAACCGAGCAGACAGATGAACAGGGCTGACTTCTCTCCCATTGTCCCTTCCTTATGTTCAGTATTCTGATCAAGAAGCTAAGTAATAAGGCCTAGGGTAAAGAGGAAGGAAGGTTTACCAGTCACGACCACTTGACATGGCATCCTTGCGAGCTACGAAAGGCAGCAAATTCAAGTAATCAGAAATGTATTAATTAAGATTACCATCATGAGTACTCAATGTTTGCCAAGAACCACCCTAAATGTATCATGTGTCCTAATTTGTTGATCTTGCCCTAACTTATTTTACATGTCCTAACTACCTATGAAGTATTAATATTAATACTTACAGATGAGCAACTGAGTTCTAGAGAACAGAAGCAGCTTGCTCAAACCCCAAAACTCGGAAATGGCAGAGTTGGGATGAAAACACAGGTAGGCTGACTCCGAGTTCAGGATTTTAACCAACAAGAGTTCAGGATTTTAACCAACATGGTGGTTAACAAGACAATATACAGGAGAAAGAGAGACCAGAAGCAGGAGAGGCAATTAGGAAGAAATGCACTAAGTAGCCAGAGAAGCAAGAGACACAAATGGTCCCAGGAAAGGGGAAGAATGTTCAAAGTGGAACAATTTATCCTCATTTAGTACCTGCTCCCCCTGCAAAACAGAATTAAAGACCCTAAACTCTCACACATCTAAAGGAATTTGCAGACTTTGAAAATGTTACTGTCAGAAAATATTACTGCTTTGAGAAACTATTTCTTTCAAATTGATGTGTGTAGAACCTCTATTCTCTGGGGAATGGCTTTAACACATACCTGCTCACCAAACCCCCAATTCAGTCCTTCTAGAATAACACAGGCCAATTTATTCTTCACCGTGGTCAGGTTGTAATTCAATAACCAATCTCGAATCACAGCTATCTCAGAGGCAGAAGGTTGCCAAAGATATAAAGGCAGTTCTTTAAACAAGTATAAAGAAACCTTATTTAAAAAGAAAAGACAGTAATTAGAATCATAACTTAAGGATAATCCTATTTAACTACAATATTATATTATTAAGCTGCTTGCAAATGGGAAGTGGGGTTTTGTTTCATTTTTAGAAAATGAAATAGACTTCATGAACAACCAAATCAATTTTAAAACTAGAGATACAGCAAAACACATTTCATTATTCTTTGTAAAAGTCAATCTTATATATAAACTTGTATTCACATGTAATATGAAAACCACTATACCAGGAGTGAACTAGATAAAAATGTGGCATATTGACCCTACATACAACAGAATATTGCTCATTTACAAAGAAAAGAAATTCTGGCTCTTATTACAACAGGGATGAAGCCTGAGGACATTACGCTAAGTGAAATAAATCAGAAACTAATCCCATTTAGATGAGATAACCATGTTCACCAAACCCATGGTGACATAAAGTAAAATGGTGGTTGTCAGAGCTGAAGCGTACAGGGAAGTGGGAATGAGGGTTATTTAGTGGTGCAGATTCTGTTCTGCAAGGTGATGGCGTGCTACGGATGAATGGTGGTATGGCAGGGAGCAAACTAATGTAAATGTACTTAACGCCACTGGACTACAAACGTTAAAATGGCTAAGATGGCCTATTATGCTGCATACAATTTGCCATGATTTAAAACATTTTTAACATGTACTTTTTCAAAGAAAATATGATAGATCAATTATTCTTCCTTCAGGAAAAATATGTCTCATACACCAATCTTTCATTAGAAACAATCCACTTATAAATGTGATAAAGTGTTGATATGATGGGTCTACTGTTTCACAGGGATGATGAAGTGACTATAAGGAAGGAGCCTTTGTAAATACAAGCCTGGAGGAAAATTAAGGATATATGATCCATGACTATTTGCCATCAGAAAGACTCACACGTGATAATCCTATTACAAGTGAAGAAAAACTTTTATTAAGTCTCTGTTTTTAGTTTGTATATCCATGCAATGGAATATTATTTGGCCATAAAAAGGAATGAAGTGTTGATACCTGCTACAATACAGTTGAACCTAGAAAACACTGTGCCAAGTAAAGGAAGCCAGCCACAACATATGTTTCATATATTTATCATATATTGTATGATTCCATTTAAGTGAAATGTCCAGAATAGTCAAACTACAGAGACAAGGTATATTGATGGTGCTTAAGACTAGAAGGAAAAAAGGACAGCTAAAGAGTCCAGGGGTTTTTTTTGAAATGATTAAAATGTTCTAAAATTCACTGTTGTAAGGACTGTACATATTTCAGAAGAGAGTGAAAACTACCGTTTGGTATGCAAACAATATCAATAAAAGCACTATCAATAAAAAAAGATATCGATAAAAAAATATCAAAAAAACTTTATAAAGATTACAAAAAGGGATTATGACAAACAACAGAAATAAATACTGCGTTTTGCTCAAATAACTATCTTTAATTCTTCTGAGTGATTTAAGAAGGTCCTTTCTTAATGCAGTCTTCTAAATATAAAACATAAAAGTTATGAAACAAAATTATGAAACTAAAACTGAAGTAACAGACTAATTAAAAACATGTTATTGAAAGTGGAAAAGTCACTTTGAAGAGATTAAGAGGAACAATGACACTTTTTATCAAGCAGTAGCTCCCCCAAGGTGGGCCTGGTGAGTGGCACAGAGCCTGCTGCTCTTGACAACCATCCCCAGCACCCAACTACTCTTCCATCACTGAGTTACTCTGGGATGAAACAAACAAAATCAGCACTCTTACCATTCCGACCTGCTCGATGGTATCCTGAACTCTATCCAAGAGAACAGAAATTATCTCAGGGTGAACAGCTGTGATGGTGCCTAAAAGCTCTCGACCAACCTTTGAAAAAGTCTCTCTGGTGGACAGAGTGACGTAAGACACCTAAAAGTGGAAGAGGTGGAGATGGCACTTTAAATACCAATTATCAGTCAAAATATATTTCCATAATTAATTGAAGGTGCTTTGAATAAAACAAAAAGAATCTCCCATTGAGTCTTGGTTCACTCCATATTCAAAAAGATAAAAGAACTTCAGAATGCAAAGGACCTGAAGCTGGGGGTGGAGGAGAGGTAACCATTAACAGTGACTAAGAACAGGCTAAAGTAGCAAGCTTTGAAAAGTCCCCCTGGGACGAAAACTTCTCTTAATTTAAGGAAAACAGTCAGATGTTCAAAATCAGAATGCCTTTTATGGAAATGTCTATTCCATCCCACAAAATAAGGAGCCAAATACAAGCTTGTATTTGGTGTGGGCTTCTAAAAAGAATCAATATTCACCGACTCCTTCTGAACAATGTCCTTCACTATAGGCTATGTTGATGGGTGCCAATGGCCAGCCAGCATTTAAAAAAAAAGGTTCACATCTCTTCAGATGTATGTTACCACATCATACCTACCACCAAAGCACCTGTAATCGGAGGAAATATTTTTTTGAAAGTAAAGATAATTTAAAATGTGCGGTTTTTTTTTTTTAAAAAAGATTTATTTATTTATTCATACAGAACTGGGGTACAGGCCAGAGGCTCAGGGGCGGTGACAGGCTTCACCAGAGACAGAGTGGGGAACAGAACAGGCAGATCAACAAAGCACACTGCTGAGGGAACAGCGGGCAGGTCAGGAGAGGTAGGCCGCGCCATGTGGTCACCTCCGGGGCAGGCGGGGCAGGCGGGAATCGAACTCATGCGGAAGTGGCTTTAGCTTCTTAGTGCTGCGCTTTAACCCGCTGAGCCACCGGGGAGGACGGCGTTTTTTTTTTTAAACATACATAAAACGCCAATGAAAGTATTAGTGGCCACACTGGGTTATGTCCCTAAACACTCGGGGATGCAAAGCCCCATTAGGAATGGCTCATGAAGTGAAAAAAATAAGTATCTACCCCCCACCTATCAGTTTACAGAGAAGGAAACTAAAGCCCACAGTGGTAAGGCATCTTTTCTGATGTGAAAGGGGCAGTCAGTAGCAGGCATAAAACAAACTCCTAAGTTCCAGATTCTTTTCACACTCTCATTTAAACTGGTGTGGAAGTCAGGCTTTCAAATTAGAATGGAGTGGAGACTGGGGGCAGCCTGGGAGTGGGGAGACCACAGACTGTACAAAACTGCAAGTGTCAGGCATGCCAGATTGTCTATTTCTTACCAAAACTAATGCATAAAATGCCAAGAGGTAGCAGAAGGAGCTGGAGTAGATATAACTGCTTTTCAATACTCCTTGGAGCAAAATTATGTTCTTTGGATTGTCTATATCCTTACATGAGTACAAACAGTTCAAGGTAGTCTTACTTTTAAAACAGCAGTCTCAAAAGAACTGATGAATAACCCAAAAGAAAAAATTTTCAGCTGACTTCTAAACCTTAATTTTCTAACCTCATATATCTCCAGAATAATCATTTTTATGAAGTCTTCATCCACATTGGTTCTTCTGGCCTGAGCCATCTGAGCAAAAGTAGTCAGAAGACAAATCTCTTCTGAACTATTCATGGAAGAAAGACTCTTCTCGAAGTTCACAAAATGTTCTGGGTCTGTAAGTTCATATCAAAAAATTAAAATGGGAAAAGAAGAAATATTTGTCACTTGAATTATCCTTCCAGAAAGACTATATAAAATTAAAAGACACTCAGAAATATTTAAGGACACAAAAAGGTCATTCTTCCAGAATGATTTCTACAGTCATAAAGAAAAAGGATGGATCAGGTGAAACTCCAACCCGAAATATAATGTAGCTTCAAAGGTGACATTTAACATCCCCAAGCCTCAGCTTCCTCATGTCTCAAAAGATTATTTAAGGTTAAATGGCATCTCCCTGAAGTAGTGCTGTCAACTGTAAAGGATTATTGCTGTCATCAGGTGAGACATTCTCAAAGGCAAATTGGAAGCTCTTGGTAATTGTCAGGCAAGTGAATAATAATGAAAATGCTAAGGCCAGAAAAACACTCAGCAAAAACACATCAAGCCAAACAAGAGAGTCTGTTTATAAATGATAATTTGGGACAAGAAGTTATAAACATGATTGAAATAATATTATAATAAACATATTTCGCCTATTTCTCAGATGAAGATATATGCAGTGTTACATTTTAACACTAGGGGGCAGTATTGGCAAATAGCTTTGCAATACAGGATAAAAACTTAACCGCTGCAAAGTTGCACAGACAAGAACCAGGATCTATTTTTAAGATGTTAAAAAAAAGTGTGTGTGTGTGTGTGTGTGTAATATCCCCTGATGAAACTTTCCACAGTGGCAATAAGCCAATAATTCTTTCCCTATGTTTACACATTTGAGAAATCAAATGGAGTTCATAAAATTCCCTACATCTTCAAAATAATTCCACGGTGCATTTACCAAATTAATTTTCATTTCCCATCCTCAAACTGGGCTTATAATAGAAGTTATTATGCAGAGGATCTCTAGAATAATGATAATTGGAATTATCATTCTTCTAAGACAAAACCACAAAGAAATCTCTCAGACTTCAGTTATTACAAATAAACACTTCTCTCTTGGTCCCCTCCAAAGTCTCCTCAAACGGGGAGAGGAGCCACAAAGTAGGAGGTCGGCGCTGCACAGTCTGTGGGGCTGTACCTTGGAGCTGCTTCTTGCACTCAGCAGGCTGGAGAGTGACACAGAGCTTCTCCAGGTTCCCGCTTTCCACCTGGTGCATGAGGTAAAAGAGTTTCCACAGCATCTGGACCGACAGTGTCCCGAAGGGCATTTCTGACATGAACAGCCAAATGCCAAGTCTGCACATTTTTTAAAAAGTAGGAATAATTTTACATGTCAGTCAACTTCACCACATTGAGAAAATAGACAAACCTTTAGCACTGACAGAAGAGAAAGTCTTAAATCACACTAGAGCAATTTGCTAACAAGCTTCAGTCGTGAACACCTATAGTGGAGCTAATAGTAAGAAAATGCTCACCATGCACACTTTCGGTGCCAGGCCCTGTTCTAATCACCACGTCAACTTTATCTCATCTCATTCTACCCTCACTGAGGCAAAGCAAGTACTATTACTGACATTATCCCCAAAGTACATGAGGTTATCAAAGCACAGAAAAGACAAGAACAGGTAGAACTGAGTTTTGAAACAAAGATCCCTTTCAAACTGGGTTGACAGAAGAGCTCCTTAAATGCAGTCGTGTGTCTGAATGCGCACACAGGTACACACATACACACACACACACACACACACACACACAAAGGGGGGGTAGGACCAAAACCCCTACAATAATTCCTCAATCACTGCAATTAGGTCCAAACTCCTCAGGCCTGAACTCAAAGGCTTTCATGATTTCACAATTTTCATAAAGAGGCTTCTCTGTGTTCAGGGTACTGGTTTGTTCCTAGACAAGGCTGCAGAGAACCCTACTTCCTCTCCACTGTCCCTCCATTTGTAAAGCTGTCTTCTTCCTCCTTAGCACATTACAAAATTCCATCCACACCTGACTTGGGCTTTCTCATACCGTCTATCTGGGGTTCTCACTCTGAAATGGGCAGAACAATCAGTTTCCCAGGCGTATCTGCAGGGATCCTCATTTTGTAGGCCCAAGAATTTGTGCAGTCATCTAAGTTACTCAGACCCCATTTTCCCCTAAACCCCAGAATGAAGAACACCCCAAGTGACCATGATTTATGGGTATATACTGACTGCCACTAGAGAGATGCCAGGCCTGTTCACCTTCTATAAACTGATACATAGCCTGGAGTCTTAAATTATAATTATCAGCACCTAAGCCAGTACCTCATATAAAATCAACACTCAAAATATGCTTACTAAAATGTATGTTAATTTTATCTCAATTATCTAAAATCTAAAAAAAGTAGAGGCACTTAAAGTATTTGTTATGTTTTAGGCAAAACAACAAATTGACAAATCACAAGTTCATGAAGTTTACCAAGAGAAAAAGGAAAGGAAATTAAACAGTGCATGCCAACCAATGCCTACGGGCCACAGCCTAAACTCACCTAGATTTGACCCAGAACCTGGAAAGCAACCAGATAAACTCCTGAGCAAAAGGTGCCAAAGCTTCTATAAGCTGAGGGGGGCCAGTTTCTATCTCACTGAGTAATTATCCTAACACTTCACATGGGAACTGATGCTGTCATGTAATGGATTCTAAAACAATGAAAAGAAGCTGTTGGGCACTTTAAAATATCACAAGCTACCGTATCTTTCAGGCTGGCTACTGCCAACACGGCATCCACACGGTACATCTGCTTTAGGCTGCTGTTACTCGTCCTTTGGTTTGGATTTCAACTTTTTCTTTTAGTTTGGAGGATAGCTATTATCAGAAATTTCTATTCAAGTGTTAAGTAAACAGAAACTTCATGTCTTTAAATATCTTGTTCTCAAACTACCACTTGGGACTCCTCTCTGCCTAACAGCTTCCCTGTTCTTTTTCTGCATCAAATGATAAATGTCTTACTTTTCTGCCTAAAATATATCTTGTTCTAATAATTTATCTCCTATAAGTTGTACATGTGATATAGTGGCTTATAATAATAAATATTCAACTTTGCCCCTAACAAACTTCCTAAACCCACTGGAATTTTCTAATTCACAAGATAGTGGCAAAGGTGTTTTTGGTTATGCTGATGACAGGACTTTTTGAAAAGAAAAAACTTAAGGAGGAGGGCCAGTTGTCAGGTGAACTAACCCAGGGTTCAGAGGGTTGGAGCTACCAGTCTTACCCCCTGAGAGGAGTCTTATCCTTCCAGAGAGGAGAAAGTGGCTGTGGCCCAATCAATCGCCAATGACTAATAATTTAATAAATTGTGCTTCTATAATTAGTCCTCCATAAAAAACCAAAAGGATGGTTTCTGGAGACTGTGAAAGTGGGCAAACATGTGGCGTTCTTGAGAGAGTGGCATGCATGCTTGGGGGGCATGGAAGCTCTGTCCTAGGCACCTCTTCCATCTGACTGGTACCTGTATCCTTTATAACATTCTTCTTTACTAACATCAGGCAGTATCAGATTTGAGTTAAACTGCAGGGTACTGAGCCAGAGTCACAGAATTGGTGGTGTGGGAAAAAAACATACATTATAACTCAAGAATAACAGTACTCAACATTTTAAAAGTCAAAATAGTTATCCTCTTCGTCAGTTACATGCATTATGTTACAGGAGGGTTTACAACTGGGGATACCAGCGTGTGTACCCATCCGTAGTAAGTGCTTCCCTCCCAGCTAAACAGGCAGGAAATGTGGTAACGCACCCGCCAGCTTCTGTGGGCAGGTGCTGGTGCTCTGACCCCTGGCAGGGCTCTGCAAGGATCTGGGTACCTCACAAAACCACCAGCTCCAGACACAATATGGATATGTACAAGTTAATCCAAAGATACATTTCAAAGCTCAAGTGCCTTTATACTAGACCCATGACTTGTGTGTGCTCAAGGGTGGTGACAACAGGCAAGGAGTCCTGATCTTTCTCTGAGTGAGCAGTTATCTGCCCTTTATGTGAAGTCACACAATTATCACCACTACTTACATAAAGCCCTTTACTTACATAAAGTCCCTTAGGCTTAAAGAGTATTTCTACATATTACTGCCTTTCATCACATATTCATGGCATCAGTGGAACAGATATCATCACTCCTCTTTATAAATGAATAAAGGGAGACCACAAATATTAAGTGGCTTGCCCAAGGCAACACTACACAACAAACCCACACAACACCCAGTGAATGAAGGGTTAAGGTGAAGAGGCCCAGGCAAGGGGAGCGTAGACAGCTCAGAAGACAAGTAGGCAAGAGCCAACAGTTCGTGAGTGGAGCCGAGTGGGCTTGGGGCCAGCCCAGCTCCTGCAGCGGGCACACGCTGTGGCAGAAGCCACCCCTGCACTCGGCCAGCTCAGGGCAGACAGTGCAGGACACGCTGCTCTGTCCCTCCCTCCGCTGCGTGCTATCTGACCTGCAAGGTCAGGTCAGCGCATCTATAAGGTGGAGGCAGGAGCCCAGTGCCAGTGTTCTGAAAACCCTCACAGCAAAACAACTGGATCAATAAAGTTAGCAAATGTGACTTATACCAGTTACTGAGTGAGCCCCTCTCTGCATCCCCGAAAGCACCGGAGTTGAGAGTGAAACAGAATCCATCCCTTGCTCAGGGCTACCCCAAAAGTTCAGGGAGTGGCAAAGGTGAGATGTCAGAATTGGGTTAAGACCGAGAGAGAGGTCACTTCAGGCAATGCTACAGAGAAGGAAGTAAAGTCCAAGAAGGGGCCTAAAAGGAAAGACACTGAGATGTCACCGTAAGGGACATACCTCAGCCATGACTTCCGCCCCAGTCTTTCTCACCAGCCAGCAGCTTCCTGACACTTAGCATCACACTTACCTTTTGGCTTTCAGCACATGCAGGACAGCTCTCAAAAAGAGCTCATCAAACTCCAGCTGTAGTTTCTGTAAAGAGTAGGTGTGCACGGCCAATCCCAAGCCTTGGTTGTAGCTCACATACTGTGCCCAGTGGTCACTCACATAACCGAGGGTCATCCTGAGCATGCAGAGAAGCAACAGAGCATTTTCATTACCACGCTCATTCCAAACCTTGTATCACATCTGAAGCATTCACAGATTCAATGCCTATTTACTGAGGACCTATTATCTTCCAGATTCTGAAGGTAATTCAAGAGTGGGGAAGCTCCTATGGAGCTCACATTTAGTGGAAGGCAAAGAGACAATAAACAAAATGAAATAAAAGTAGTCCATCATGTGGTTACATTTGACACAGAAAAATAAAGCAGGTTTCCCTGGGGAGGGGCTGGAGGGTAGGGTCAGGGGCTCAGTTAGGAGTAGCGGAGACCTTGCTGAAGAGGGCGCGTGAGTGAAGATTGGAAGAAGTGACAGGACATCTAACAGAAGCGCATCCAGGTAGAAGAAACAAGCAGTCGGAAGACTCCAAGGTGTGTTCAATACCTCTGAGGAACACTGTGTGCTAAAGCAGTATTAGTAAGGGGGAGACTGGCTGGGGAGGAAATCAAAAAAGTGACAAGAAACCAGATGGTGAGGGGTCCTGTAGGCCACCGGCACTCTGGCTCTTGCTCGGAGTGACCGGGGGCAGCGGGGTCCTGGGCAGGGAAGTGATATGTACTGGCTCAAGATGTAGAGGGAACATGGACTATTTCAAGAATAGGCTGGGGGGTGGGGTAGGGGTTGAGATATGGGGGAACAAAAGGAAAAGCAGGAAGGTGAGTCAGGAAGCTGTTGTGAAAAGTGCTAAGGATAAATGAGTGCTTTCCCAGACTAAATACAGCAAGTAGCCACTGGTGAAGCCTTTGGAACCTTCTAGGATCATATTTAATAGAAACTTGAAGAAGACTGAACAGAAACTTGAATAACAGAGAAAACAGGAAATAATGATGCAAAAAAGCTATTGTTTTTTCATAGCTATGTGGCAATTTCCAGGCAAAAAGTAGGAGTTACAGGAGACAAAAGAGCAGAGGAAGGGAAAGCCCACCTGTTCCTCAACCCCTTCTCTTTGGAAAAGTTCAATCCAATAGCTGCTCTGAGGATCTTGACCCCAGACACAATTATCTAGCAAACCAGTCAAGTATGAGATAATTAGTCCAACATTCTAACTGGAAGCATTCCCATCTGGTAGATGACAGATAGGGGGAAAACCTTACTTTTGTTTGAAATAAGACTTGAAACATATATAAACCCATCATTGCAACACTGCAGTGTGTGTGCTGAGTGAGGTAGAAACAGAGGAGTATACCAACGAAGGTGTTACCTGATCATAAAACCAATTCGCTTCACAAACTGCCTGTAGCGGGCTCTATTAAAGGTTTCTAACCCCACAGCCAAAAGTTCCACTAGTGAGTTAGCAAAGGCAAAAATTTTCATCATTTCTTGAGGTCTTGTTGTTTCAGGTAAATAATGACCTGGAAGTCAATCAAAGAAAAGGAAAAACATGTAAGTTACTACATGTAAGTGAAGAAACACACGGGTACATGTGTGAATGCTTCTATAAGGAAACAAAGCCAAGACTGGAGAAGAATTAAGAATCCCCATGACTCTGGTTCCTATGACAACTTGTATGAGAAAAAAGAGGAGGAGAGAAATTAGTAGAATGTATTAAAGCTAGGCAATGGGCAAGCTAGTCAGCCATTCTTCATGTAAGCATGAAGGAGGAAATTGAAAAATGAAAAAGGAAGGAAGGATCATTGGGACACAATCACCCATGTGTGTGGTCAGACATGGGACCTGCATCCTGGGCCTGCACAAGCGTAAGACTGATACTGAGCTCCCATGTTCAAGCTTGGCCACGACCAATTTCACTTATGACACAAGAAATTAGTTTACCTCCTGCTTTAAACCCAAGAAGATGTTGAAAGAGTTCATCAAATGGAAACTGTGATAAAAGGATAATCAAATCATCTTCATTAAGGAGAATCCAGCTGGTCTCAGGGTCTTCATCCTTAAGGGAAAAGGTACAAAATCACCCTTGATGATTTGGCTGAGCACACACCGACCTAGTTAGATCTCATGGACTTCATGGACCTATACAGGACACAGACTGATAGTCTCAGTTCCACAGATGGACTGCCGAGTCCCTAACATCGCAAGTACTTTATGTGTATGAGTCATGCCCACCCTTCAGTGGCTAAAATGGCTCTCAGTAAAGTTCCATCCCAAAGAAGATTAAAAAATTCCTCTAGAGTCTTACTATAAAAGCTCAGTGCTATGACATCAATAAAAGAACCATGTATTAGAATCCAAGTTATTTTAACTGCAAGCATCTTACTTCCAAATCAAGATCTGAATACTCAGCTGCTCGTCAGGAAGCAATCAGCAATTGCTGTGGATGACTAAAGATCTGTTAATTAGTGCTGTGGAAAACAGGATCAAACAACATGGATTATACAGGAGAAATCTTTGGGTTTTCCTATTTGCTATAGAGCACTAAGTCACCTTAGACACCAATATGACTTGTGTCCTAAGAGATGCTACATTCAAAAACAAATTCTGTGCAGAGATTCAGAGATCCTTAAGAATGTGTCACCACAGTTTCAACAAGGGGCTAGTGTCATTTGTAATTTCATCACTACACTTATTTTTACCCTCTTATGTGCCTAAATGGCTAACAAACAAGAGCTCAGAAGCTCTACTGAAATCAGTACTTCTCACACTGGCTACACTAAAATCACCAAACAGGCTTTAAATATCTGGATTTTTGGGTGTGGGCTGGGAAAGGTTTTTAAATTGCCCAAGTGGTTCTAATATTCACTTGAAGTCGAGAAACCACTGCTGTGGAAAATGCAGAGGGCCTGTCTCCCCTAAGCCCTGAGTCAATAGCACTACCAATATTTTCTTCTACTTGCCAAGCTCTTGAGCTCTCTCAACATACAGTGAGTGCTAATCGGAGCCAAGCACCTCTGCAAGGCCACTAATCATTATCTATCTCTGGAATTAAATTCAGAAAACCTACCAGGAAAAAAAAAAAAAACTTCTCTCTCAGGAGAGATCAACCTTGGGGGAGCAAAAATAAACCTGCTCCACCTCGATCTTTAAAGCTTTTTGCACCAGCTCCTGAGACGCTCCCTTCAGGATGACTGTTCAGGGTCTAGTAAAGAGGGCTGTAGGCTGACACCACATGTCGGCTTCTTGCTGGCTCCTGCACGTCTCAGGATGAGTAAAATGAGTTGAAGGGGCTCCCATTTCTAAACGACCACTTGGGTAAATATGTACACACAGCCCCCACAGCTGCCAGGCAGTCTGAGAAATGTCCATGGTGCACTTTTAACTGCTTTAAAGGGAAGGCGCTTTAATAAGTCTCGTCCCTGGTCATCCTGCACAAGCACATCAAATCAGGATTTGGATCATGAAAAGCATGAGAGTTGATAATAATAGCTGGAGGAAACATTCCTTACAGATACTCTAATCACATATAGGAGAAGAAAATCAGATATTAGCTCAGGAACTGGATTTTGATCACTAAATGAAATTCCCTATGAAATAGAAAACTACCTTCCACCTTTCAAATGAAGTTCAAATGAAAAACCCTGGACAAGAAATTTGTGAGCATCTCCCTGATGACGCAGGGGTTAAAGTCACAGGACTATCAAGCGATCACCAGCCACTGGGGCATGAATTCTATCCTGCCCAGGGAGGTGACCCACATGGCGCAGCAGACCTCTCCTGACCCGCCAGCTGCTCCCCTCTGCAGTGCACTTCATCAACCTGCTCACCACTCTGACTATGGTGAATCCTCTCCTCCCTATACCTCTGGCCTGTACTCCAGTTCTGTATGTTTGTTTATTTATGTATAAATAAATAAACCTTTAAAAAAAAAAAAAGAAATTTGTGAGTGAAGGTAGAACCCTAATCAGCTCCAGCTTTTTAATACACAGACCCTGAAAATTTATAGGTGAGAGCTCAAGTCTAGAAACTTGTTAGTACATAAAACAAAGTCCTAATGTGAAGTTCACAAGAGATGTCAATATATCCAGGTTCTAAATTCTCCCAGGAGAACTTGGAAATATTCTAGAGAGCGCTGGCAGCATGGCAAGTGTGCCATGAGGCAGGCTGGAGGGCCTGTCATTTAGTCACTCTATGACTGGGAACAAACGGCTTTACCCTGCTGCACCTCAGTTTCTCCATCTATAAAAAAGGGACCATAACAGTACTTACATCATGGGGTGGTTGGGAGAATTAAATAAGATATTATGCAGGAAAGGAAAACAACAATACGTGCTACATACCAAAAACTCAAAAGCAGTTCATCAAAACAATGTAGACATGACCAGTTACCTCTTCTCCTCCCTCATCTACCAGTGTCCACGTCCCGGATGCTGGTCCTGAGGAGGATGGCTTCCACTCACTGGGCTTCATATGGCACAGGAAGTCGGCTCGATTCCTATAGGAAAAGGGAAATCACTGCCCTCATACAATCAGAGAAAGCTCAGATGAAACCATTAGGGATCATCTACTCACCTTGAAGAAGAGTCAGATGCTGACTCAATCTTCAATGGGTTTAAATTAGTAAACAAAAAGAAAGAAATGGCTAAAAATCAAGGACACCAAAAATCTCACTCATTTTGGTACAGAGACCATGGTCATTATGAACTACCGTGATGAGTCACTGGGGAAAATTAATTCTACTAACACAACTCTCACACGTGGTGGGGCCTCAGCACACGCCACAGATGCTGCTGTAGAACCCTCACTCCTACTGGGTTGCCTGTTTTGCCAAGTAGAAAACTTCAGCAAACCTGCCTTGCTCGACAGAAAAGGACAACCTTCAGGTAATGCAGAGGTTTGTGTAAGGCAAAACAAGCACATTGAAATGCAAAAACATTTTGATGTCAAGTCACATCTACCACGTGAAGAAGCAGCCCTCTGTATGCTGGTAGCGAGGGAAGAAATTCCTGCCAGGCAGGCTTTCACGTGGGATTGGCTGATTCTGAGGAACAAGTAACCAGAGAAGTTTCTTCTCTGAGGCCACAACCCATTCTCAGCCCTCGTTCCACCTCTCTGGCCTGACCCTAACCGGCAACCGTCCCTTCCTTCACACAGGAACATTCTCCCTTCCCTTCACTTCCAGCTCTGTACCTCTCGTGCTGCCCTTTCAACCCATGATGCTCCCTTCAAGAAGTTCCAAGTGTCCACTGGTATCTGTCATTAGCACATGTCCACGAGTATGCCACAAGGCCCTTGAATTTTCCTCCTACAGAACAGATCTCCTTCCTGTCTTTGTAGCCCGAGGACACCCAGCACCCCTCACTCACTTATACTCAGAAGTCTACTGAGCTGTGTCTATACCAGGCCTTTCCCATTCTTTATTACTAGTCAGCTACTTAGCCCTTTCTTAGGAAAATAACCTTTGGGTTTCCCTCTTTCTCCTTCCCATGAGCACTGCCCCAACAGACTCAGACGCAGACAGGGCAGTAACACTGTTCTCACAGACACCTGGACACAGACTCCGCCTTCTCCCCCCGGTAAGGAGGTGCATTCTTGATGCTGGCTGGGGTTACCTAGCCAGATGTCTATAAATCTAATTCTATTAAGTAGACGATGTCTCCCATTCATCCTAACTTTTCTTAAACACAGATTTTACCTTTGCTCCAAAGGCTACAATAGCTACAAAGGCTAGACCATATCAAGCTTCGAGTCCTGTCAATGTCAAGGCTGCTACAATCAATCTCACGCTAGATAGTCATCTGTATGACCAACCCCCCCACTTCATTCCAGCCTTACGCTGTCCTCACCTGTGCTTTCTGGGCCACTACTCACATCCTCGAGGCCTGCAGGACCTCCGTACTCCTTGTCTCCTACTGAAATTCACTCCGTTCTGCAAACCCCGGCTCCTCTACTTGGAATCCCCTCAGATATTCTACTCTACCCCTCTCTTTATTCTCTTCTATGGCATCAGTCAGCAGTCACAATGTAGCACTTAAATCTATGGGGTTTTTTTCTCTGCTACTAAATAGCCTCCTCTAAGGAACACATAATCTTTGTCTCCCCACATTTGTTTCACAATGACACATATGACAGGAGAGGTGAACCCACTAAAAAGGGAACCCAAAGCAGATTAATCATTTATACATAAGCAGTTAATAGGGTCACTTTGGGATAAAGGTATCTACCAATGCAGGAAAAATCTACAACGTTAAACTCAGGAATGGTGACACTTCCCTTAGCAGTTGTTTGGATCTGAGCAGTTTAGGAAGCCAATCACTTGCTAGAAAGAAAGCATTTTAATTTCTACTTCACAAATGTCTGCCACACTTACTTGACAGGAGACATAAGCAGGGCAAGGGACTGCATAAAATGAAAGACCCCTGATGGTTTGTTCAACACTTTGATCTGAAATCAGAAAAAGAAAAGCAAACTGTAGGAACCAACAACCCAAGCATCTGTAGTCTCAGTTTACTGCATTCTGATAAAGGGAACCATCACATGAACAAAGAAGGAACAGGCAACATGGAGAGGGGGCCCTGGGCCTACTTGTGGCTCCTGCACATCTGCATGACTGCTATGAGTAACAACCACCCAAGCGAGCAGCAGAGAGAAGCTACAAACCATGTCATCAGCAGCTGGTTAGAGGCGAGCTGGTAACACGACCTGAATCTCTGTTTGCATTAAAGAACCTGCACACCGGTGGCTTGTTTTACCGATGCTACTTATGGTGTGAAGTAGGCCAATTTAGGAAGCTATGTTGAGTACTACAGAAATAACTCAGTGAGCCTTCATGCACACTAAGTAGTTCTGAACTTACCAAGCTAGAACTTACCAAGTACTTGACCTTGGAAAAATCTATCTTAATTTCATCAACCCTAAGTGGCTCAAGAGGTTCATCATAAAAATTCCTGAGAATATATATATGGATATATCTGAAGAATTTTATTTTAAATATCAACATTTTAAAGTGACTTTTTAAAAAGTATTCCTTGAGATAAACAGTTAACAAAATCTCTCCGCAGATGCCCTCAAAATCAGAAGACCATTCACCATACCTGAATGAAAGGAACAGCCCATTTACTAATACCAGCTGGGCATCGAAGAATATGATTTAGAAGGAAGAAGTGATCTCCAGGACAGCCAACTCTTTGTAACACTGATACCTGAGCAGTAAAATATACAAAGTTTCACTGTTTAAAAAGAAAAATTCATCCAAAATTCCAGTAGAGTCATTTAATCTGATGTTTAAATACACGTAATCTTTGAAGAGTAACCAAACATTTTATAAGATGATTGAATTTCTACCACACAGGCACACAAAAGTGTAAGAATCTCTAAACACTATGATAAAAATATCCTAACTACTTTCTCTGCAAACCCAATTTTTATTGTCTGGCAAGTTACATATCACTAGTGTGCATGTCCATATTGAGTAGCTATAAATCCAGTGGTTCAATCCATCAGTTTATAAGTATCTCAAATCCACATAAATGTGCTTGGAAGCTCAGCCCATATTCAAGAACTCTATTGTACACCTTAAAAACCCCAGCAGCGTCACTGAGAAACATCACCCATAAATACTGCCCCCTGCCTATAGCTTTCCTCAATTTCCCAAATCCTGACTCCTCCCCTTTCTTCCCTTAAAATTTTTTTAAAGTATCACTAAGTACAAGATTAAATACAAGTGGTACCCAAAAAATGACACAGGACCTCCCTGGTGGGGCAAGGGGTTAAGTCTCAGCACTGTGAAGTTATCCACAGCCACTGCAGCACAAGTTCAATCCTCAGCCCCGGAGGACCCACATGGCGCAGCAGACCTCTCCTGTCTCACTCACTGCTCCCTTCAGCAGTATGTTTCAGTCTCTGCCTGTTATGCTTCCCACTCTGTGTCTGGTGGTTCCTATCAAACCTTCCACCCCCAACACCTGTGGCCTTTACCGTAGTTCTTGTATGCGTAAATAATAACTCTTTAAAAAAAAAAAAAAGATTTAGAATCAAAAACGTGTATCTGGTCTTAAATTCAGCATGTTTCCCACATTCCCATTTCTGCCTAAGTTTAAAGCCTGAATTTAGCTTAGTTTATCATAAAGGCGCTGTGTGTTTAATAATGAACTGATCAAGCACATCTTAGAGCCCTGTGTTATGATCAAAGAAAATGTCACTAATGAACCCACTAAATGAATTAGCTAAAGAAGATATGGAAGAAAATACTATAATGAAGTAAAAGATCATTCTTAAATTAGCAGGGAAATAACACCACCACTATTTCTGTTCTCTTACCAATTTCTGCAGCCAGAGAAGAATATCATCATGGAATTGAGTATCTTCATTGACTCTCCTGGTGAACATGAATAAGACACTAATGCACTCCTTTAGCTGACACAGATCAGAGGGAATGCTTTCTGTCTGCTTAGAAGCTATAAATTAAAAAGAGTATTAAATGAGTGCTCTACGGTGTTTTGAGAAAGTTTAGTGTCTCCAATTTAAAAAAAAAAAAAAGCATGTACCAAAATATCTTTTCAAATAAAAAACAAGAGAAAAGTTACATCAAAATACTTGAATTTTCTACTAATGACATAAACCAAAATAGCTCTTAACTTTGTGAAGTATTTCAAAACAAGAGAAAATTAACTTCATTGAAACTTATTTAGTTAAAAAAATCAGGAGCTCTGGTTTAGTCCAAGGGGGGCCAAGAGGTAGCCAGAGGGGCTTTCTTTAAATGACCCTCGTATCGCTCCCAGAAACAAAAACTTCATATTTAATTCACATAACTAATATTTAATATATAAACAGTAGGGGCTAATTTCTAAAATCCAAAATAAGATAAAAAATTCAAAACATTATAGATCCTCTGATGAAAGTTATATAAAACACCCAACACACCGGACAAGTACAAGAGACAGAGGATTAAAAAAAGTATTCTGATTACAGTTTAGAATCAAAAACTGTTTTTGGATTCAACTTGATAACAAATAAAAATTAGGGCAGTAAGGCATATTAATGTTAGAGAGTTTTTTACTCCCTAGGATGACAGCTCTGAGGAGGGACTGTCTTCCCATCCTCTGAAACACTAGTGCACAGACCTCAATCTTAGACTGGGAGGCCAGGTAAAACAGCAAGCACTCATGCAACTTTGTGATACCCACTAGCACACAGTCAACCAAACTGAACCTTCAATTCTTTTTTCATTCCAGATGACAAAAGTGAGACGTTCATGGTTTACACACCTGGGCCTTGCTGATGAATTGCTAAGGATCTGAGAACAGCCGCACTATTGAGTAACGCATAGAGGTAAGACTCCACTTGCAACCTTGAGAGCACTGAGGTGTAGGAGTGCAAAGCCAGCGTCTGGTGGAGGTGCTCAGATTTGGCATCAAACAGCTTCTTTAGCTCCGCCAGTGCATTTTCATTCATCTCTACTCTTTGGTAGCGATGATAGCCTGAAACTTTCACTTGATCGGCACAGATACCCTAGCAGTGGGCAAAAGGGTAAAATATGCAAGCAGTTATTCTCTAAACTTGAAATAATCACGCAGCACATATTAGACACACAGGCTTCAGTACCATGTTGAAATACTTTATAAATCAGTGAGGAAACAATATCCTGTAGAGAACAATATGACAGTGAAAAGAGCACAAGACCAATCACAATGCATCACAAGAGAAGAGAAATGCTAAGGAGCAGGGGAAAGATGCAAGAAAATAAAATAGCCTGTCCCTCAGGCTCGACTATCTTCTGTACAGTGAAGTTAACGAGTTATGCCTGTAACTACAGTGGATTTTAAAATAGCTCTGTAACTAGCATGATTCTGCTCAAAAGAAAATCCTCTCCTTTCCAATACTAACACCTCCAGCAGTGTTCTTAATTCTGTCCTCTCTTTTGTAGCATTTCCAAGTGTTTCTTTCCACGGGCACTCTCCTGTCTATAATGAGAGATAGACAGGCGTCCCAGGGAATGAGGGTTAGGAATGGGGAAATCACATTTCTCCCCCATAGTTCCTCCAGTTTTCTTCACTGCCCAGCTTGTACCCTATTCTTCGTGGCCATCCCTCCCAGGCCTGCGAAATGGTTTTCCTGCTAGTCACCTTGGTCTCCACAGGGTCATATTTAACTGCCTCCCGGATTCCTCTCAACCTTCCTCCATGGGTCACCTACTTCCTGACATTCCCTATCCATTGGACATGCTTGTCATAGTGTCCAATGTCACAAATTAAATGGTTCATGGGCTTAATCTGACCTAGAGATAGGTTCTTGTTTGGTTTCTACTGTGTGTGTATATTTGTGACAATGTGTAATTAACTGCCAATATTTACAAATCAGGATCCTGAATTTAAAAATTCAGATTTCTAGCTTCTCTTGGAAAATCAGAACATGTGTCAATATTTAACCAACATACCTCACATCATCTGGCAGAATTCAAAAGCAGCTATCCTGTGAAGCCAGACTGAGCAAACCCCCATGACCACATCCCCTCAGGTGTTTTACTTCTCTAGGTTACGTGTTTCGGCCCTGCAGGCATATGACCTAGTGATTCTTGCACTGAACTACTCCGAGCTGAGACAGCACTGATGTGAGTATAAGGAACACACTCCAAGGCTTAGCATCACAGGAACAGCAGCTCCACTGCAATCCCCCAGGCTCCTGAAAGCTTTATAGAACACTGGTCAAAATACCTGCACGGACAACTGTTCCTCCTTAAAATGCCACAGTCGACTTTTAGCATTTTGGCAATCAGATGTCAGAGCAAGAAGCTCAGCTTCGGCTAGTAGCAGTTGCTTCCTACATCGTGAGTAGTTCAAGATCAATTCATAAAATTCATGTCTGTCCTGGTGAGCCATGCTGTCAAATTCTTCTAGATAGGATTCCACATTTTCTAGCCATGACCCAGGCTCAAAGATTTTTAGCTGTTCTTTAGTAAATGGTACCAGTTCTGGCTGAGATGGGAGCTCCGGGTATAGTCGCTCATTACGAAGCAAGGGTTTCACTGCCACCAGAGCTGGTACTTCAGCAACTTCAGCTGGCAACTGGGGATACAGTTTTTTCACCTTGGGTGGCTGAAAAAGATCTGTGGCTTCACAAGAACTCTGCAAGCCAACATGTTGTAGCACCTCTGAAGAAAGATCCAGAACTTGGTTGTGTTCTTTCCTAATCTGATTTTCTCTGACCTGTAAATTTTCCATTTCCTGCTGAGTAGAAGAAATAGTAAACTGCACTGTGCTTTCAGAAGGTTCACATTGTACCACTTTATTTTCCTCTATTTGTGTAAAGTCCTTGGGGCTTTCTGCTTTGGTTCCAACATCGTCTCCAGGGCTGGCCTTCAACTTGAATGCATCGTCCCCAACACAGGCTCTGACCTCATTCTCTTCCCTCAGAGTCTCTGTGGTACATGCTGGGGACCCTTCCCTGCTTATAGGTAAGGAAGTGAGTGGTACATCAACCATTTCACTCTCATTTTGTCCAGTGGCAACATTCTTGAGCTGGGAATCAGTTAAGACCTTCAGGTGGCCTTCTGTGAACTCACAAGCTAAAGGAGGGGGTTCCAGTTCTCTGGAGATTTTTGGCAGGGAAACTTCATCAGACTCTTCCCTCTGAAGAGTTTCACATTTCTTCTTTTCCTAAAAAGACAAGATAATGGAAAATAAAGTAATAACTGATGCTTTCAAAATGAAGAAATTTTAAATTGCATATATAATCTAAAATTTACCATTTAACAAGTAGAATCTAAATTCATTTCATAATTACTGTATTTCAAAATTCATATTAGTCAATTTGAGTGTTTTTAATTTGGAAAATCACTTATCTAATTCCAACAGACAAGGACAAAAAACAACAACTGTGGTTCAAGAAAGGAGGATAAGAGTCTGAATTAGGTCGTTCTCCATTCTGCGCAAAGTTATGTGAAATAGGGCAGTTTATAACTATCTTAGATCTCAATGGGTTTATCTTCATTTTGACAAACATTCACTCAACACTCAGAAAAAACTGCAACAAATTGAGCAATAAAATAACTATAACCAGAAAGTATAGCTCAGGGATAGAGCATTTGACTACAAATAAATAGCTATAGTACTGGATTGTAGCCCACAGAATAAAACAAATATCCATGAGTCCAGATTGACAAAAATAACTATGGATGGACGGAGGGACAGACATATAGGCAGACAAAATGATGTGAAGCCACAACTCTACCTTATAGAAGAATTCCAATATATACAAATGTAATGAGAAAAATAGAAAATCATCACTAAAACACCATGGTAATAACTGTCACAGGTACTATCACCTGATGGATGCTAACATGAGTGAACATGTAAGCAGAAGCAATATATTTTCATAATCTCAAAGTAGCACCCAAATATTGAGTAATTGCAAGAAAATACTAAGATTCAGTGGGAACCCTTGTGCATAATAACTTACCCAAGTGACCAAGAGTAACATCATTGATAATACCATATAATGTTCTGAGAAGGCCTACCACTTCTCCAGGAGCCTCTGAATAATATATACTGTAAATACAATTATGAAAAAATACCAGTAAAAAAATCTGAAATTAAGGGACAGTCTACAAAATAACTTAAGTGTCATGGTCATGAAAGAAAGAAAAACACTGAGGAACCATCACAAGAAATGATATCAAGAAACTGCAGAGACAGGACAACCATCTATAATGTAGGATCCTGGGTTGGGTCATGGGGCAGAAAAGGTATTATAGTGGGAAAACTTAAAATTCAGTAAGTTCAATATTTTGGTTACAAGTATTGTACTGATGTTAAGTTTTTGCCCTAGATCATTTTATGCCTTAGAATATAAGGTTATGTAAAATAAAACTGTAAGAGGATAGTACATAAAGATTATATGGAACTCCCTAGATTTGCAACTTTTCACTAAGTCCAAAATTATTTCAAAAAAAAAAAAAAGACAAAAAAGTTAACTGCTAAAAAAAAGGAAAATGAAATGTGCTTTTTGAAAAACACTTAGGCATTAACACACAACTAGATAGGCTGGATAAAGAAAGAAAAATTACTTAGATAAAATTACTACATTCAAACAAACTCAAAAACTGAAGCCAGTAAAATACTTTTCACGATGAAATTTTAAGAAGGCAAACATGATAGGTAAGTTTATGATGATTTTGGGTATGCTGTCCAGCGAATGTCCAACAAGAACAACAAAAACTGTTGGCATAGTCAAAACCATAAAGCATTTATGTAGCCACTATTAGGAAAAATAGATGAGTGTTTTTAAGTGGAATTTGTGGTCAGTTTGCTTATAATGACCATGGCGACAAGCATTTACAAATGGCAGTGACCCGAGAAGCAAGGCATCCCTCCAAAATTACTTGAGTCCGTACTATGAGGTACAAATATCAGATTCAGAGATCAGCCACACAATGAAGACAAACCAGTATATCAAGCTCCCCGAAACCATGCCTATCAGGAAAGCATAATGAGTACTTAACAGAAAATGACAAAACGGGCCCAATTACACTGCAGCGATGTTTAGCACAGTTGCTATGGGTAGTTTCATCAGTTTGAGCTGTCAGAAAATTGGGAAGGAGGTCAATGGCGACTCAAGAAAAACGCTGGTGTGTTGTCAGAGTAGGGGCCAATGATTAGTGAGCTGAACAATCAGAAAATGAAACTAAGAAGACAATTTCACTCACAATAGTCCAAAAAGAACAATATATTTAGAAATACATTTAACAAAACAAGTGTGAAGTTGTACTCTGAAATTTACAAATGACTTGCATGCTCACACCCAGCAGATCCATCTTCCACAGAATAATCATACCCATAATAGCAACCAAAAATGTGGTTAGTCGACTAGAGACGTTTTGAAAAAGCCTTCCCAGCCTCTCCAGCAAGAACACACAAGCTCTTGTTTGGGCTTTTATTTTCCCTAGATGCAGCACTCAGTGCTTGTCTGGGTTTCGAAAGTGGAAATAAAGAGAAAGTACTCCACCTGCGCCTGTTAGGGAGGTCAGGTCCAAAGAGGAATTAACCTGAAGTTACCCCAGGGAAGGAGGTTAAGCAGGTGGGGATAAGGAGCAAGGGGAAAGAGAGTGGTGTGATTCAAACAACGAGCTAGTCGGAGCACAGGAGGCAGAAAACACAACAGTCCTACAAGGTGGCAACGGCCTGACCGGGGTGCAAGAGTTCGGGGTGCAAATGAATGCATTTGGCCTGCGGAGCAGTGGTGAGCTCCAGTGGCTCACACCCTGTGTGATCTTCATACCTCCCGTTTTGCCACACCAAGGCATCCCAAAGACCATTGTAAAACCCGGTCTCCCTACGAACCTGCTCTAAACAGGCATGCTCTCCATTTAACACAAGAATGATCTTAACTCTGGCTCCAGTGCCTCTGATGACACAGTCACAATCCTGTCCCAATAGAGCCTTCGGTGACCACACCAACCCTCTGCGCATGCTCTCGTCTGAATGCCTGCAATGTGATGGTCATGTGCCGCCACACATGGCTGGTTATTATCTGTATGTTCTGTCTCCCCCGCCTTCACCCAACAAACCACAAGGATTGTGAGGCCAGGGACTGTATCATTTGCCTCGTTGGAGCTGATCGGATTTTTGGCACTGGGGTCAATAAATGTTTCTGAAGACCACAGTGGTGACTGATAATTTATAAGAATTTATCTGAGTACTAATGAATTTCTGAGCAAGTTAGGTTTAATTAGGCAGCTTCAGGGCAGTGCAGGCAGAGACTTCAGGAGAGTTAAAAAGGCTTCTGGGAAAAGGACAATAAGTTCTAAAAGATGCTAACCAAAACATACTCCAGAGATGAGGGAAGAAAGTCCAGGACCAAACAAAGACAGTGAAACTTGAGAGAACAAGACCTTGTACAGGGGAGACAAACTTGCAAGATAAGAGCTGGGAAGTTGGGCACATTTACCCAAAAGAGTATGGCCACTAGGAGAAAGAACCAATCACAAAAAAAGGATGATAAATTTTAGAATAGAGAAAAAAGGGTCTAAATATCCCCTAGAAATGGGCCCATAATGGCATCTTCTGTCCCTTCTTGATATTACTGCCTTGGAGTCTTTGCTTTTGTTCTTTTTCTTCTAAGTACACTTTTCTTTCTTGAATAAAGTTTGTTTGTCTCTGCCTACTTATCTAAAAAATTTGCAACAAGAACCCGTGGTAATTCTACATTAGCAACACAACCAGCATCACTATCTGTGCACTGAGCTCTATCCTGAGTACAGGAATTCTAAGATGAAGAAATTATTGAATTATTCAGCAAAATTTTTCCTTACCATGTGATCTGGCACATTCAGAAGTCTATTAGTACTGTGTCTCTCAGAAAGCGCAGAGGGAATATCCGATGCTTTCAGAGAAAACTGAATTTTTATGCCAGAGTCTGAATCTATTCTTATTCTTAAAACATAAAATTTTACTTAAAATAAAGCAAAGCAGTATCCAAGTACTTTACTACTTAACTAGAGCTAAAAAGGAGAACATGTTGTATTTATAAAAGTCATTACAGATCATACAATGAAGCTCAAAAGAACTCTATATAGTCATGTGTGTAAAAATCAGTGCTTACGGGATTTTACTTTATACAAAATATGTTTCTTACAACTAAAAATAGCTAGATTATTAAGGCACTCCACAAAGAAAAAATAATTAAGAAATTATAAGAGATCAGATACAGTTTTGTAAACCAATGTTACTTCAGTTAAAAAAAAGTTTAAACTTTAAAAAGTTTTTTAAAACCTTCAAAGAAAGAAATTATAATGAAATGGAAGGTTGTCGATAAATGAAACAAAACATATTAACTACACATCACAATAAACATGTCCTGGACTGCTGATGTGTGCATGGGGAAATAAACCTAAAGAAGAATATATAGCAAAGTGTTGCCAACAGCTATTCCCAGGAATGAGACTTAGTCCTTTCAAGGACAGACTTCTTTTAAGCAATGAGAACTTTGTAATCAGGGAGGGGGAATAGGGTGGTCTTAAGTTCCAGAAATTTTGATTTATCACTCACAGATCTCTCTTTCAACTGTAATAAGTTTAAAAAGGAAAAAATTACTTTAAAATTATTAAGCTGCTCCCTGACGAAGGCTCAGTTGTATACATCTTTCAGAGTACTTTCACGGGACGATTTGAAAGACAGTCTGTTATCACTAACGTCTGAGGTCCCAGCATTTAGTACAATGCCTGGCACAGAATAGATAAAAAGGGCTTGGACACATGCATCCAACTAGCAGATCAAGAGCTCTCAGGGCATTTTTACCAGCTCTATTTGGGACACACAAGTATGCTATATTGGGGGAAGGAGGAAGGTTATACCTCTCAAAATGAATACAACTCCTCAGCTGTCACCACTTGGTGTGGATCTTTGCTGCTGATATACCAACATTGCGTTTCACTTGCTTCATCTCTCCACAAACTTTCTTCACTCAATGTCTAGGACGCTACTTTCAAGGGGGAGACTAAAGGGTCCCTCCTCATACTCTGTTATTGGTTCCTCTTTTTCTCCCCAACCTTAAAATTGGGGTGTGTTTGGGTTTTATTCCTGTCACTTTTTAAAAATTGAAACATAATTGACGAAACAGTATATTCACTCCAGATGAGTATTTATGTACCTAAATAATC